AGCCAGGAGGGTGGGGGCCTCCAGGAAGACACATCTCAACATCTGGAAAGACTGGGAGGATTTCAGGAGGAGGGGGAGGGGGTAGGGCTCCCCTCCCCCGCCATCTGCTTTGTCCTAGGCCGAGCAGTGACCTCACAGGACTTCATTAACATCCTAATTGTATACAGCTGGCCTCACTCTAGCACTAATGACCTCATTATCCTCCCTACTTAAGGAGGCCATTGTGGCCTGGTCACCCTGGGGACAGCAGTGGCCTGGGGGTGCCCATCCCTTCCTGCTCAGCTCCCTCCTGAAGAGGCTCAGCCCCAGCTGCTGTTCTGCGGCTCCTCGTCCTCTTCCCCATCCCACCCCCGCCCCCACCTCCATGTGGAATATTCAAAATTCATTCCCTGAAACTAACCAGAGAGGTAGACTCTCAGTGAACAACCATACAGTCGCCGAAGATACCTGCGGCCTGAGATGGGGGCATCTGGCTCCTGAGCCCGAGCCTGAGCAGTCTCTCCCTGGGGCTGGACCTGGTCTATGTCTTCCATATCCCCAACCTTAGGCAACCACGTTAGGCACAGTTCTTGGTTCTATCTCTCTAGCTCCTTGGCTCTTAGACCAAGATCAAGAGGGGTGCTTTTGAGGCCTAGCAAGCAGGGCAGCCTCTCCCATGGGCCTTTGATTCCTGGGAAAGACCCTGAGGAAGGAGGAGGAACAAGAGCAGCTGCAGGAATTTGTCTGGGTGACTCTCCAGCCTGGGGCTCTGCCTGGAGACCCCTTCCAGGTCACATGCCCACAGGGTGCTCTCTCAGACTTCTCTGAAATGAGTCCCTGCTGTTCTGTTCTCCATCCAGCAACAGTGCCCCATGGGCCCTCTAGGTGACATAGCTATCCTGCTTGTGTGGCAAGCACATACCCCAGCCATCCATAGGGTGTGGAGGCTTAGTGACCAGCAGTCCCACCACACTGGGACTAGCTCAGCCCAGCCCAGCCACCAGTGTCTTCTCTGAGTCTCCTCTTCAGCCTTGGCAGATGGGCCCCATCAGTTACTCTAATATCACAATGGAGACTGAGAATCAGAAAGGGAGAGTAGCTTGCCCACGGTCTCACAGCTAGGCGATACTAAGCCAGGATAACATAAGGGACAGTATTGAGGGACCCCGTGTGTCAAGGAGTAACTTGTGCTGTCTAGAGTGGCTAAGACTCAGCGCTCTAGCTGAGCTCCCTAGGTTTTAAGCCTTTCCTCATCTCTAAAGTGGGAAACTTAATGACAATGACATTATTTCTCAGAATTAAGTAAATAAAGCAGCCTATATCAGCAGTTGAACGTCCTTACTGTACTTGGCTATAATTGTATCATGCATGCAGATGCAGAACTAGCTCTGTTCCTGAGTTCCTTTGTGTACATGTGCCCACCCACATAGATGGGTACACATGTATAACCACCCCTCTCCCACCCAGTATACCCTTGTCCATTTACACACACACACACACACACACACACACACACACTCTGATGGAAAAGTACATGCATTGCAATGCATTTAGAAACCCCACAGGTTGCCATGGCTCGTGCCAGTTGGCCGTGCTCTGAGGTCTGGGTCCTATTTGCTCCTCAGTAAAACAGCAATGACTTGGGTCAGGAGCCCCAGTTACAGCAACTGGTGTCAGTGGCATCTGAGAGAGGCCTGCCAGCCACCAAGGGTGTCAGCAAGCCCAGGAAGTCTGCAGGGAGCCGGGTGCACACCTAGGCAGTGTTTCCGCCTGCCCGTCATGGCTTGATGGAGATGCCCACCACTGAGACAGTGGTAGGCTTTTCTCTACAGCCATCACTTGGGACCAGTGGGGCCTGGAAGATACCCAGCCCAGTCCTCGAGTGCTCAGGCTGCAGTAGAAGCTTAGGCAGTACTCCTAGGCAGCCCCTAGGCTGTAAAGACGATGACTGTCTCAGCCCCGGGTCCTGCAAGAGAATGAAGTTCTAAGTTGATGTCCAGGAGAGTAGACGTGCTTGGGTGTGGCCAGACACCTCAGGTTTCTCTGTACCCTGGCTGTCCTGGACCTTGCCCTGTAGACCAGTCTGGCCTGTTTCTGCTTCCTGGGTACTGGGATTAAAGACGTGTGCCACCACACTTGGCCTGGCTTGTCACATTTTAAAGAGGCTACCTGGAGACAACATGAAGTACACAGGAACCTAGCCATGGTGCTCTGACCATTGGGTGTCACTGCCATTTAGCCACTTAGCAAGTCTCTGCCCAGTCCCCACACCTAGTACCAAAGCCTTCATCTATATCCCTGGCTCCACAGAAAGGAAAGCAGCGACATGTACAGGGAAAAGTGCCCACGAGGAAAATTAGGGGAGAGGACACAAGGCCTCCAACGAAGAAGAGTGTTGACTCCTGAGGTCATAGCCCCTTGAGACCAGGACAAAGGTCTACACAGGAAAGAGAGGATAGGGACAAGAATCTGGTAGCGCTGATGAGGAAAATCCCCCTGGGAAAGTCGTTCTGGGCCTCATATCTTGGAAACAAAGATCAAAGAAACACTATCTTTGGTGTCCTTCACAAGTCTTCTGCCTATAGAGGGGCTAGCATCCTTAGCTTCTGCCCAGGATGACTTTGGAGCCCCATTCCTGGAAGACAACCACCCAGCCTCCATCAGACCACCAAGTCGCCCACCTTCCCACCTGGGACCTTGAGAAGTTGCCACAAATACAGACATGAGCTTTGGCTTTCAGGGGCCTCTTGAAAAGTGACCCCAAGTTGGGAACACCCCTTGTTCTTGTGGGTCACCCTGGCAAGCAGGATTGACTGAGACTCAAGCCTTCATCGTGTTTCCCCCACCTGAATCTGGCTGAGGAGGGAGGAAGGCTTCCGTATCAAGCCTGGGGTCAGGGAGCAGTAGGTGATCTTGCTGTCTCTGTAACTACCTCCTTGCTCTTCTCCATGAGTGAGCAGAGCTCTTCCATGCCTGCTAGCCCATCTCTGCAAAGAATAGACAGAGAAACCTCTTTGGACATCAAAATGAAGCCAGCCTGGTGCTTACTGACCAGCATGTGGTGCTCAGGGCCCTCTGGGTTCAGGAGAGGTGGTCAGTGAACCCTCTTCATATCCATGAATGCCGACCCTACGGGGCTTCTCCAGACGCTTAGAGTATTTATTACCCAAACATCAGCACATTCGAGTTAAAGGCAGAGGGTCATTGGAGGCCCCCACAATCAATCAGCACCCCCGGCCTGACCCTGGCCTCAGAGTGAGCATCTACTTCCCAGTCTCTAGTTCTCAACGGTGCTGAAAGACAGTCTATCTTGTCAGTCCCAGGATGTGAGCCACCTGGGACGATTCTCTTTCCCAGAAGTTTAGTGAGTCTGGTTGTCTGGTGCCCTGAAAGTCACCTACAGCCTAGCAGCTGGAACACTAGTATCAGTAGAGTATTTCTAGCCTCTGGCCTGCCTGACTACCACCCTGTTCCCAGAGGTGGGTACCAGCACCTCCCTGTCCTGAATCAGTGGCCTCAACTGTTCTCTCATAAGAAGTCAAATCTCCCTTCTTCCTTAACCCGGAGACCCGTCGTCTTGTAGCTCATGCCTAGCTGTCCTCTTCTGGCCCAGTGTTGGATCTGATGCCAGAGGCCTTTGGGCCTTCAAGAAGGCCTAGAGAAGTCCCTGGAGAGGTTGTCCATGTATATGTCCTCGTCTTGCTGTCATAGCATAGCACAGAGGGACGGCCTAATACTCAGGTTCCAGTCAATGCTGTATAGTTCTCTGTGCCATGGGGAAGGAGCCTCCTGCAGGCCTCTTTTTCACCCCTGGAAGAAATGAACATTGTGGCCTACGCCAGGCAGCCAGCAAGGGCCCTGGGTCATGGGATTTGAGCTAGAAAACTAGCCCAGCTGTCAGCAGCAGAGGAAACAGAGTCAGTGACCCAACCGAGACCTCTGAGGCCTACAGGCCACGGCCTCAATGGGCTTTGCAGAACATCAAGCAGAGGACTGTGGGACCGTCTACAAGAATGGGGATGGCTGGTCCACACACAGACTTTGGAAACTCTGGCCTGTTGTAAGGGACAGAGCCTAATTTAAGACCTAGGGAATGACTTGTGTTCTAAGGGCTGCCCAGCCGTGACGAGCTACTGGGTTTCTTCTCTCTGTTGTTTTGGTATCACCCATGAAGCATTCTCCTCCACCTTCCCAGACCCAGCCCAGCTTAGGGGTGCCTAGGAGAACCTCCCCTGTGTCTTCTCAGGCTGAACTGGACCCAGAGAGTCTGCCTCAAACAGAAAGGAGTCCTGGGGCCAGATTATGTGGAGGACAAAGGAGAGAGGAGAGGAGAGAGAGGGGGGAATAAGGGTCGTCTGAAGACAACCTGGGGTCCCAAGATCTAGGGTTCAGATATTTTATTCTGTAACTGATTCTTGAATGAATGAGCAAGCGAATGGGCAGACAACATGAATGGACAAGAGCTATGAATGAGCCTTTGTCATGTGACCGGACTGTCAGAGGTCACGTGAGGATGCTGTGTGCACTTACTGTGATGGCAGGGTCAGCGCGCGTCAAGGGCAGCTGGGAACAGCTGAAGTGGGAGCATTGCTGACTCGTGCTAGGGAAAAGAAACTGCTGACTGTCAGTCTCTGTGAGACAGCCATGCCTGTCAAGGCCAGAGGCTGCCCAACTCCATCGAGGCTGAGAAGAAAGATGGCAGGTCCCTGGTGTTTGGACAGAACTCTCCTCACCTCCCTGAGCAATGCATTCCACACTGGGGTGGGGTGCCACTCTTTCCATTACACTTAATTTAATGCTTACATCAAAAGTGCATGACTGTGAGGGAGGGGTCTCTGACTCTCTCCTCAGGAAGAATATTTGTCTTTTCTGCTGTATTTGTTCAAGGCATTTCCCAGATGTCCAGGTTGTCTGGGTCAGTGCCTTGCCCCTGGACACTCCTGCCATCCGCATCCTGGCCCCAGCCTGCCTCCACTATCCTGCAGGCATTCAGAGCCTCTTCTCTCTTGTCCCCTATGCAGGCTGGTGGTTTGTGAGCACATCTGAAGAGCAAGGTTGGGTCCCTGCCACCTACTTGGAGGCCCAGAATGGCACACGAGACGACTCAGACATCAATACCTCCAAGACTGGAGAAGGTGAGGACCTGTGGGTTCGTTGGAAATTAATAAAGCTGGAGCGAAGGGGTTCCTAGGGGCCAGCCCCTCCTGGAGGCAGTTCCCTGACTCTTCTCCCTAAGCCACTATAGTGGGCTAGATTTTACCTAAGCCCCTTCTGTTTGGGATTCATTCACTGAGACCAACCCACATGGTTACCTCATACCCTGGCCCACCTGTCATCCTCCCTGTGGGGCTCAGAACGGAAAGTTCTCTTAGGTTGTTCTCTTAGACTTTAGCTTTGGCATTACTTGGGTAGGGGACATCCTTAGTGTTAGAAACCTTGGGTTTCCCTCAAGAACTCCAAAGACAACAGCCTCTACTCCCGGCCTCACACTGGACTTCCTGCGGCAAAGCCGACCCCAAGGGGTCAGGTAGACACAATCCTTGCTGTGTGTTGTTCTCCTCTGTAATCCTGCTCAGGGCACTGACGGCTGCCCAGTGAGCCCCTCTCAGGTTCCCAGATGCTGGGGTGCTCTCTGGCTGGCTCTGGCTCCATGAGATTCTTCTGGGTGTATCTCCAAGCATTTCAGAGACTGCCTTTGTCCTCAAAGCCATCAGTAGCCCATTAAGTGTGAGCCACCCCACTTCCCAGCTCCCCGCTGCTAATGCCTCCCAACTCTCCCTGGCCTGGCAGCAGGAATTCTTTGCCTAACAGTCAGTCAGTAGGAAGGATGCAGGTAGCTGTGTCTGAAGGCCAGAGAGGTGTGGTCCTGCCACCCACAGCTCAGGCCTCCTTTAGGCACGTTCCTCCGCTCCTGCTGCCTGAGCCAAATGAACAGTCAGGGCCAGATCCTTCTTCATCCTTCCTCAGGATGCTAGTTGGTGGTTGGGGCCCTACCCTGCTTGTCTTATTTCCACCCTGGCATTAAAGGAGGCACTCAGTACACATCCACCTTGTAACAGGGTTCCAGATCCTAGTTCCCTCCCCGAGTATATAGTTCCCTAGTTCCCCGAGTTCCCCTAGTTCCTCGAGTTCCCTTCCCTCTATCTGATTCCATTCTGGGTCTGTTGTACCTCACAGCTGGGTTCCATGCAGACCCTCAGACCTCGCTGAGTAATGACATACATGTTATTTGTCTAACTACGAGGGCAGAGGCTCAGGGTGTTTAGTCACGTGCCTGTCCTCATCAGGTGGTCTCATTACTGTCATGGCCTCTCTGAAGCATCTGCCTGTGGGGGAAGAAGGCCACTCTTGGTTTGTCAAGAAGAGTATATGACAGAAAAGGCTTCAACAGGAAGAGCAGAGCAGAGAGGTACTAGTTAGCAACAGGGGCCTCAGACAGAACCAGACAAGGTAGGAAAAGGCTCAGCAGGTCTCAACAAAGAGTAATGTGGCATTCTTCATGGAGCAAGTGGTACCCAATTGTTCTGGTGATACTTCTGTTGCTGTGGATAAACACCGTGACATTTAGCAAGTCGGGGAGCACAGGGTTTATTTCATTACACTTCTAGGGTATCGTCCATCATCAAGGGGAAGC